GTTTACATAAGATCATGTCAGCTCAGTCTATGACCTCTTTAGCATATCTTCATTGGTAAAGAATAGTTCTGGGAACCTAAATATTTTATATCAATTAAGAAGCAAGGAATGATATAATATTCTTACAAAGATCATCTAAAGAGGAAGTAAGGATGATTTCATTAGCATATAAGAGAATGCTTGTTACATCTTTACTTTCATGAATGATCTTACTTGTCATGGTTAAAATCAATGGTGGATACAAAGTTAGCTAACCATTCATACAAAATACAAAGGGTTATTTAAGACCATAAAGAAACCTTTTTGGGAGACACCTATAGTTTCAATGTTTTAGTTTAAAAATGTCATTAATGCTTCTAGTTGACATGTTATGTATGAATTGTTGAGTCTTTTGTTGACTAGGTGGTTGAATGTTTGTTTAGTAGTGAAGAAAAAATGGATTGTAGTTATAGAAAGTTATATATCTAGGTAGAAAGATAGGAGAAACAAGTTGTTACACAATTTGTAATAAGGCTGTGACAGTTGTTATGTCACCACTAATATAGTTAGTATATGTAGGTAATGTTGCTTTGGTGTGAAATGTAGTAAAAGAATTTGGTTGTGTGGTTGTCATCTTAATTAAACTTGCTCCTTCAAGAGTATGCTTGGAGTGACCTTGATAGAAAGAAGGAAGAGGGTTGATTTGTCAAATTAATGTATTTAACCTTTTATATACATTAGTGAGTCTAGATGTCATTTGGAGAACAAATAACTAATTTGAAATAAGTGCACTGACATTTTTCAATTAATTTGAAATCATTTTTAGTACTTAACAATACGATGATGAATTTGAAAAATCTTCTACTCAAGTATGATTGCACGTGAGAAGATTTGTGATAGTGGAGTTGAGCTCAAGTATGGTATCCAAAAAGATCATTCAAAATAGTGGAACAAATCTAGTGAAGAATAATGGCATTAAGACTTGTCCATATTTCTTTTCCCTTGTTAGTTTTTGGTGTCTTCTTTTCAATGAAATGATGATAAGATGAAGGATTTTTTGAACATTGACAAATCTTCAGGAAACATTTTGGAAATACCAAGATAAATATACAATTTTTTTGAAAGTACCAAATATATAAAATATATTAAAATAAAAAATAATTAGTTTTACATTTATACTAATTTATATGTGTGAAAGAATGAATGAGTGTCTATGATCCATCACTCTTAATAAAGCTTTGTCACTCGCAACTACTTATGATATCGAACATGAATTTTAAATTTTTTAACCTATATTTCACATTAATCATTTTCTATTTTGGATATGATTCTTATATTGAAAACATATAAAGCTTAATGGGGTTCATTGAATCATGGATGACAAACAAAGAGACTAAGGGAGAAAACAGGATTAAGAGAGGAAGATAGAAAAGGTGCTTGTCTCTATATATCATGAAGGAAACAATTCTATGATTGAATTTCATTCAAAGATTTAACTATATACAAAAACATCAACATAATTGAAGGTTATAAAATATATAATACAAAAAACTAATTAACTAAATATATTAAGTAGATTAATATATACAAATAATTTTTAAAAATATTTACGAAAACATTTACATATCATGAGTAAAGTTGCTTGGATATCGTTTATTCAATCTATTTGACCACACAGTTGAATTAATTTTAATAGGTAATATAAAAGTATTTACCCTAATTTATAGAAGTGGAGGTATAAAACTCTACACATGAATGAGGCTTATGTTTTATGAAACCGTACCTTAAAAGCATCTTCATCAGTTCTATCATCACCGAGGTAGATAGGAAGAACATTGTTGAAGTTGTCAAAGCCAAGAGTGTCAAGCAAATACATAAGAGCACACCCTTTGTCCCAGTTTACATTCGGACGTATCTCCATAACCTGATCAAACATGAAGGTCAAGTTTAAGAATCCAACATTTTTGTATTCATCAATGGCAATCTTTTTTTGGTACCTTTCTTCCACTTGATATGTGGAAATTGGGGTAAGATTTCATTGTGGACTCCACCATTTCTCTCAGAACACTAATATCCTACAATTTTGTGAAGCAACACAATTGCATAAGCTTTTTTACGAGCCTCATGATTTTACATTAGATATGTCTATCTTGTGTTTGTCATAATACCTCTTCATTTTTCACACACCGGTAGTGTACAGTGACACAGAACATGTTATCCTCAATCATAGAGCCCTTTATTCTTCTTGTGTTTTCTTTCAAAACCTTAATTATCTGCATGATATAAGTGGAACATTCATGAGCAAAAGAAAATTTAATGGACATTCAATTCTCTTCACATGTGCAACAGAGAGATTTAAGGTACAGTGTAAATTTTTTAAGAATCTTTCAACTGTCAAACTTCATTAATGTTTATTCATGGAAAAATTTTGAAGTGGATAAGTTGAAGAATTTCTTATGCAAAAATGTTTGATTTATTTTCCTTCTTTAATTAATAATTTAATAGTCTATGCATTTTTTACACTGATCTTGTAATAACTAATTTAAAATTGATATTAATGATGATTTTTGATTATGAGACCCTCTAAATTGGCTGTATATTGAAATTAAATTCTCATTTAATTTTTTCTTCTGGAAATATTTATTGAGAAGTTTTTCATATTTAACTCTGAATGCAAGTTAGAACAAACTACTATAGACATGATTGTTTATTACCTCTTGAATGGTTGGCAAAAATTCTTTTGCGGGATGAAAGTGAACAACATGATTACCCTACAAAGGTAACAAAGTATGAGACATGAATGACGAAATCAAATTGTCACAAGCATCATTAACTGTCATTATCTTTTTTAACTGTGGTGTGGTTTTGTCCAAACAGTTGGCACAACAAAACTATTGTACAGAGAGAAGACAGACATATGTAAAAACCTTTTCATCAACACCCTTTATCTGATGCTTCTGATCTTCACATTTTGAAGACCCTGTTGGAGTTGATATATCCATACCATGACTTCCAGCATAGTAAACATTCCTTAACTTCACAAATTCATACACCTGCATGTCAAGAGGAAAATAAAGGCACTGAAAATGCAAGGCACTGAAAAACAATGCATCCTCAAAAAAAGGATGTTGTCTCATGTCTGCATAGTGCACTGTTCTGTTGAGTGAGTGGATTACCTTATCCTTACGCCTTCCACTAACAATGGCAGTGGGAAAACAATAAGCAACTTCACGTACAGCTGCACGCATCTGCAGATTGCAATCATACGGCATTGACAACTAAGTTCTGAGAAAATGAAAGCAACAGAGAAAAACAAAAACTACAGAACTTGTTAGGACTCAAAAAGCCACCACAAGTTTTTCTTGTGGTGTTGATTGTCCTATGGAAAGCACTTACAGCATCACTCATGTAAGCTTTATCAGGGTCATCTACAATCGGTGAGAGTGTTCCATCATAGTCCAAAAACACAACAATCTCTTTCCCTTCAGCAACGCTCATCACTTTATCAAAATTCTCCAAGACAGAAGGATGCTTTTCCTTTGAGCCACACAAGTAAACAATATATAATAATAATAATTAAGAACAAGAACCAGAAAAGGAGGTCCATATATATAAATCAATGCCAGCATTATTGAGCCATTCAGATAGATCATGATACACCAAAGCATAATTGGTTGAAATCTTGCAGATACACCATGTATGTTTAAGTTACAGAATATGTGAATAAGTTTAACCACCCTAATCATACATCACCAAGTATTGAGTAAACTTTACTGGTATGAAAATGAAAGTTTTAAGCTTACTAGCCAGGAAGCATAAGAACATATTTCTTCATTGTCGTCCATCTTTGCAAGTGAGATTGGTTTCATGTTTGAATGTTCTGATGGTTGTGATAAGTATCCCATCTGAGATGCTGTAAAATATAATCAAGCAGAAACTGATCTTTGCTACCTGCATTCAAGAGAATTAATGGTGGAAATAATGTCTTGCTTTAAATGTACATCCAAGCAATAAATTTTATATTACATTTGTTTAATAAAAGTTTAAAAAAGGTGTTAATTAGAGTAAAGGGTAATTAATCTGAGTCTTAAAAAAAATACTAAATAAGGGAAAAATAAAAACCAAACAAAATGAGACAAAAACAGGTATATACAGTTTGTGTTAGTTGACCGTTAAAAGAGGAATATAGAAAGTTGTCACAAGGCTTTTGTTTTTAAAGTGTACCTTTGGGTTTGAACTTTCTTATTGTTCACGAAGTGCAATTGTGCAAAGAAAGTGAAAACCACGTGATATACCCTTATCTTTTCAGAGAAAAAGAAGCTCCTTATCTGGAACTCAAGCAGTCACATTCTGCATTAGTTTCAACATCATAAACTCCGAGAATTCAACGAATGGAAAAACCCATGTTCTTTTTTGTGGCTACAAATTCATTGTGACAAAGTTGATGGATAAAGCTAGCCAATTAAGGAATCACAAGAGTATGGAAAATAGCTGAGGAAGGAATGCCATGGATTGCAGAGATCAATACACCATAAAGAGAAGCCATGATAAAGTTTAATTTACAATAATAAATTACATTGGTGATGGCAGAAATAACATTAATTTATCATATATAAATGAATGCAAATTTTATGGTATTAGTTTTATTTTATTAGTTTTGTAAGATTAAGTTAAATTTAAAATATAATTTTTACTTTGTGAACTTATTTGATTATTTGATGGGTTTTTGAAAAGATTCACTAGAAACATAATACTAATATTTGTCCATTTTTTTTAGCATAAACTTTACAACTGCATTATTGAGACTACTTTGGCATATGTTCCAATAATAATAGTTCTGCAACAAAAAGTATTCTGAAACTATGCTTTCTTGTATCTTGTAAATTTGTTTTGATACAGAGAAAAAAAGAAAGCAAACACTTAGTATTATCTATTAGACTATTCTAATTAATCGAAATAATAAAAATGGTAAGAATCTTGCTAATTAGTACCTTAAAAAGATTTTTTTGAGGAATCAATAAATAATTTTCTATTAGAAATCACTCTGAGACAAATATTTTTTTTATTTTTTTTATTCTCCGTGTCAACGTTGCTTAACGTTTTTTAAATAGTAAATACACAATTTTTACCATAAAGTAGTCGCTTTTATTAAATAAAAAAATATAAGGAAAAAAAGTAAAAGGAATGGATATTCATAAGTACTTTTTGAAGAAAAAAAATAATGTAGCTATACTTTTTTTATTTTTTAGGTAATGATAGGCAACAAATAAATGAATAAATACATAAAATAAAATAAAATTTGTCAATTAATGTAAAAGTTGTCAATAAGATCTCATGATCAAACAATGAGTCGTCATGTTTTCCACAATGGAGAAATAAAATAAAAAGAAACATAACAGCCTCAAATGCATCTTTTCTGTCTAGATGCTCTTAATATTAAATATAATATATTTTTAACGATGATCATATGTGATCTTTATATTATACTACTGCAAATCGGTTTTTCTTTTGGTTCTACCTATATTATCTATAATTATTCATCCACTTCTGAAAATATAAAAATTAAAAGTGGTGATAATATAATTAAATAATTTATTTTATATATTAAGTTTAGAGTTTACCATTGTTAAGGAATATTTTTTGTTTTAAGGTTAGAGAGAACCTATTAACTAAAATCTGCTAACAAACAAAAGTTTTGAATAAAATAGTGCATTTTTAAAAGTAATGAAAAATAAAAAAAATTCTTCCGTTTTTTAGCTTTTTCTAAGATTTAGTTTTTTTTTTAATTTTATATATAACTAAGATGCTAAAGTGACTAAGTTGGAAAAAAAGATAGTAATTACCCCTATAAAATAAAAATAGTTTTTACTAAAAAATAAATTATTCTTAATAAACAATTAAGTAATAAGTGTGAAAAGGATCATTCTTAATAGAATTGTGGGATCTGGAAATGGTGTAAACACATTAGTTAATTTGGAAAATAATTAAGGAAGTGGACCATATGGCATTTCATCAATCATCGTGACTTTTTAAAATAAAAAATAAGAAGTGTTGTGAATGATAAATATGTTTACTTCTTAATATATTTATATGTAAGAAAAATGAATACTTTTTTATACGTCAAACAAAGAACCTGTATTGGATATTTTTTAATTTTCATGAACTAAAACCATAAAAAAAATTCTCAATCAATTAAAAATTATAGTAGATAAAGTTTTGTAAATAGTTTATAGTCAAACAAAATTGTTATATATGATAAATTTAAATTTATAGTGTGAAGAGATATATTATTATTTAGTATATTATTAAAATGGTAATCACATAGTTAATGTAGCATCATTAACATTGCTTACATATCTTTTAAATCATGGGATCCAATGATCATGATATATTTGCAAATGTCAACTCAACTATCAACGTACACCTACTAACTTAACAGTTAAATACTCGTTTAATTAAAAATATTTATCAATGAATATTAATTATTCTTAATTATCAGCATGTGCTTTGAAATAAATAGTAGTTTTAATCACCACACGAAACATTAACTAATAGATGAATGGCTTTAATTTATAATAATCCTGTAGCATAGAAAAAGTCTATATTAAAGCATCTAAACCAATCAACAGCTAAATCAAACACTAAAATATTCCATTAATGTCTTGGAAAAACATTATTTCACATTAATAGCTTCATTAAAGTAATAGAAAGATGTTCTCATTTCACATTAGTTGACCAAACATATACTTTAAAGAGAATATTAATAATTATGAATGCATATTTCATTTACATATGCTTTGATTTCTCGTCTCTAACACTTTGTTCACTTGAATGAATTTGAGGAAGAGTGATTGAATGAATTTGAGAGGATTTGAAGGTAAATTTTTTGTTGTTTATTTGAGTGAATTTAGAGGTAAGTGAGAGTGGATTTGAAAGTAAATTTTTTTAATCTGTCACATCAATCAAATCCTAGCCTCCAAATTCATTCAAATAAATAATAAAAAATTTACTTTTAAATCTTCTCAAATTCATTCAATCACTCTCTTCCAAATTCATTCAAGTGAATAAAGCCTAAAGAAAAATTATTAACCGTATAAGAATGTAAATTTGGTAGTATTCAGTGAGACATGATTGTTGAATGAATTCTGATTGATTCATTTTTGTAGTTTCATATGCAGGGAACACTTTACACACTAAACTCAATCACTCTAATGTTAGTAATACAACCAAGAAAAATTGATATTTTAGCACATATTTTCATTTACCTTAGTTTCTTCCTTGTTTTTTATTTTAAAAAAGATTAAATATGTTTGATGTTTTTAAATTTTTACAAAAAATTAAAATTTATTTTTTTTTCTTAAATTTCGATATATTATAATATTCAAATTTTAAAAATAAAAAATATAGTTTATTTTTTATGTGTTAAATAATATTTTACATTGATATTTGAACTTGAACAGGTCAAACAACAAAAATAGTTCTAACGTATGAAAACGTGAGTTTGAAATATTATTTAACATGTTAAAATATTTGAAAATTAAATTATATTATTTAAAATAAAAATAAATTTTAATTTTGTATCAAATATTAAAAACTAAAAACACATTTATTATTATTAAAAATAATAGGATAATCTTTAATTGTCATTATTTTTTAACGTAAAACACTTAATTTAAATTTATGATCTCATTATTATAAATAAATAAATAAAAAAACTCGTGTCTGATAGATAAATTAGACAATATGATAGACATGAATTTAACATATAATTCATACACTAACTTTTCCTCTTTCTGTCCCAAGTATAACCACAAGGATTTTTAGGTACTTCACTCATTAGAACACAGCATATAAACTAATCTTATTTCTTTCTTCTTTTTTTCTTTTCAAATTACATAATATATATATATATATATATATATATATATATATATATATATATCACTATTTAATTATGAAACCTATATTTTATTCTGTCTCACTAGGCATTGAAGAACATCTAAAATGTGTAAAAGTTGTTTTAGTTATTTTCTTCTTCATATCTTCTTCCTTTTTGTTTTTGTCTCAAATTCAAAGGGTGCATGATCATTTTCCTGGTGATGAACTTCTATGGACAGAAAATGAACAATCAAGAAACTGGAGTTGAATAATGGCAAAAGTAAAGAAAAGAAAGAGACATAAACAAGAACAAAAGATGGTGGAAAAACACCCATAATGCATACATAAACATATGTATTATCTATGTAACTGAAAAACATAAGAAGATGATAAGCAAAGTTAAAGAGAAGAAATACTTACAGAAGAGAAGAAGAGTTGCAGAAAAGGCAGGAAATAGTGAAAGGGTTGATGAAGAAGAACATGCAACACCGAGTCTCAGACAAATGAATTTGTAACACTTAACATATGAAAAGTGAGAAAGAGAAGAAAGAAATATATGTTACATTAATAATATGTAACAGAAGGTCATGAGTCATCAGTCACAAATTGTTGTGTTTTTGTTTTGTGGGGTACTTTCCTTTATACTTTTGCAGCCCATAATAAAAATGGTTCCTTTCTACTCACTTTTTCTCCATTCTTTCTTCATTTCAAATCATGCTTAGATACTACTTTTACCATTTAACAAGGGAAAATAATTGGTATTACAAAAAATATTGCAAAATATACAAATATTTTACCTTTTCTGTAAAATATGAAAATTATGTGTCTTCAACTTCAAACTTTTTATGCATCGGGTTAATTTACAATTTTCTTTTATTATAAATATTCGGTATCTTGTCACTATGATAAAACTATTAAATAACAACCAAGAGAAAAAAAATATATTAAATTAAATGTTATTTTATAAATTAAAAATTATTAATATAGAAAATAATTTTTTTGTAAATAAAAAAATACAATTAATTTGTGAATTAAAATTAAAATTAGTCTTTAATATTAATTATAAAAAAAATAAAAA